ACTGTGAACAATGTAATGAACTAGATGGGAACTAATGTGAACTATCTAATGAACTACATATGAACTATCTAATGAACTACATGCAAAGTACTGTGAACTATCTAATGAACCACAAAACTACTGTGTACTATCTATAAACTACATACAAAGTACTGTTAACTAAACTAAGTACTATCTAATGAACTATATACAAAGTACTGTGAACTATCCAATAAACTACATAGAAAGTATTGTGAACTATCTTATGAACTTCATAGAGACTACTGTGAACTATCTAATGAACTTCATGCAGGGTACTGTGAACTATCCAGTGAACTACATGCTAAGCACTGTAAACTATCTTATGAACTACAAAACTACTGTAAACTATCTATAAAACAAGGGTGCCAAAGTCACAAAATACGCCCGTTTACGAAAGCTTTAGATGGAGATGGGGGCATTATGGATAAGTGTTATCTAGCAAGCAAGTTTTTATTCTTGGCACTGTGTTGTTAAATGAACCTTAAAACAAATCAGTAGGGAAGATATGCACAGGATGTGTGACCTTGACCTTGGTCGCAGGGACCTGAATTTTATGCACGGCACTCAGCCTCACAATGATGAACATTTGTGCCAAATTATATTGAAATCCCTCTAGGCATGTAGAAGTTTTGCTCCAGACAAGCGTTTTTCTATGAGCTCTAACTGTGACCTTCACCTTTGACCTAGAGACTTGGTTCATGTGCAGGGCACTACGTCTCATGGTGGTGAACAATTCTATAAAGTAACATTAAAATTCCTCCATGCATGTAGAAAATATGCTCCGGACAACATCTGGATATTTAATCATCTCCAGTGACCTTGACCTTGCAAATATTAACCTAAATTAAATGTGTCACACCTGTAGTCATGATAGTTACCATTTGTGCTACAATCCATCAATAAATGATGACTAAATGGTTCCTATACAAATCTTCAAATTTTTATCTGAACTTTGACCTCTATGTGTAACCTTGACTTTGGTCGCAGGGATCTGAATTTTGTGTGCGACACTCAGCCTCACAATGGTGAACATTTGTGCCAAGTTATATTGAAATCCCCCTATGAATGTAGAAGTTTTGCTCCGGACGAGCGTTTTTCAATGAGCTCTAAGTGTGACCTTGACCTTTGACCTGGAGACCTGGATCATGCATGGAGCAATACATATCATGAAGGTGAACATTTCCATAAAGTATTATAAAAAATCTTCCATACATGTAGGAGATATGCTCCAGACAAAATCTGGATATTTCACCATCTTTAGTGACCTTGACCTTGCATATATTGACCTAAAGTACATGTGTCACAGCCGTAGTCATGATAATGACCATTTGTGTTACAATCCCTCAATAAATGATGATTAAATCGTCCCTATACACATCTTCATATTTTTATCTAAACTTTAACCTCTATGCGTGACCTTGACCTTGGCTGCAGGGACCTGAATTTTGTGCGCGACACTCCGCCTCACAATGGTGAATATTTGTGCCAAGTTATATTGAAATCCCTCTATGCATGTGGAAGTTTTGCTCCGGACAAGTGTTTTTCAATGAGCTCTAAGTGTGACCTTGACCTTTGACCTAGTTCATGTGCGTGACATGGCTTCTCATAATGGTGAACATTTCTATGAAATTTCATTAAAATCCCTCCATGCGTGTAGGAGATATGCTCCGGACAAAATCTGGATATTTCATCATCTTTTAGTGACCTTGACCTTGTATATATTGACCTAAATTATATGTATCACAGCCATAGTCTTGATAATGACCCATTGTGTTACAATCCCTCAATAAATGATGACTAAATGGTCCATATACACATCTTCATATTTTTATCTGAACTTTGACCCCTTTGAGTTACCTTGACCTTAGCTGCAGGGACCTGAATCTTTTCACCTGACACTCTGTCTCACAATGGTGAACATTTGTGCCAAGTAATATTGAAATCCCTCTATACATGTGGAAGTTTTGCTCCGGACAAGCGTTTTTCAATGAGCTCTAAGTGTGACCTTGACCTTTGACCTGATTCATGTGTGCGACACTGCTCCTCATAGTGGTGAACATTTCTATGAAGTTTCATTAAAATCCCTCCATACATGTAGGAGATATGCTCCGGACAAAATTGGACGCGGCCCGCCCGACAGGGGCGTTCCCATAATACGTCCCGTTTTTCAAACGGGCGTATAATACATGCAAAGTACTGAGTGAACTATGAACAATCATAAACTTGAGACAGGCACAACCTACCAGAAACTATCAACTACATGTATCATGAATTACAAATTGTCACAACCTAATATCATGAACTATACACTAACATCAAAATATAACATTAACTATTTTAAGTAGAGATTCATAATGTAAGAGAACAATTCTATCATGAACACAATATCATAAACTTTATATTACAATTCTTTTTTAAACAAATCTCATTCTTTAACAAAGCTCACTCTTTTATTTTTATTGAGTTTTACGTTGCACAAACACAGTATAGGTTATATGGCGAGGAAGACTTAAGGTCTCCCTCTGTGCTCTAATTCTGGCACAAACGCACACCTGAGTAGAACCACCAATGTGTCGTAAGCTAGCTGGATAACTTTCCAAATTCCTACATGAAAAAATCTGATACTTGTGAGGCTAGAGGCAAGTGGTTTGAAGTCAACAACCGTAACCATAGGCCATGCACACCCAATCAACAAAAACTTATTAGCTGACTTTAAAATACTTCAGGACTCTGAATGCTACATTTCAATGTTAATTTTATAACTTATTTCTTTTCAAACCTTGACCACTGTTTGAATCAATAAATACTCACACAAGAAGAATCTAAAGTGTTCACTATCAAAGAAAAGGCACATGGGGAAATTTGTTTTAAGAATATCAAAATGGTTTAAAATGGAGGAATGTTTTTTTTTTTATCCAGCCCTTATTAACACTGAATCATTTTTTAGACAATTGGATGATTTCCATGTAGAGGCTGCAGAGAAATTGGTAAAAATGTTAAGAATGATCTCAGACAAACTGTTTACTATATGCATACCACTGGAGACCATGAAGAAGGATAATAAACTTTTAAAATGAGCACTTTCTTTTAATCTATATGATAGAACATAACTAATTTTCAATTAATTAGAACATGGAATGCAATAATCCCATCTTATATCTGGAACATTTATAACATAACAAATCAACAATTTACAAACAATTAACTATTGAGTATTATCATTAAATATAATTTTTTACTGGTTACAAAAAATATCTAAACTCTGAAGTCATTTATTGAACACTAAAACATGTTTTGGAAGGACATTTTTGTCTTGAACAATAATAATTAACTATGGCACATGAAGAATGTAATATTTAGTTCAAATATATTTGAAAGACATTATAACATACTGGATTTCCTGTAAATTTGAAAAACAAAATAAAAAAAGTGAAATTTGCATAGAAAGTTGAATAAACTAAACAATAGAAATTGTGTAAATTTTAAGAAAAATGTTTTATTATTAAAATAATTTGTACCTTAGATATCCTATCTACATTCTAAAATAATCACATGGAAAAAACATGACTATATAGCTAGGAAGGAACTCTGATTGTACTTTTGCAAACAAGTATGATTATATACAATTATAATCTAGCACTAAAATTGCTACCAAATAATGTTTCTTTTTAAAATTCAGGACTAAATTCATCAAATTGTCAAATAATTGTTTTTCTTCTTCTTTTTTTAAAGACATATCTTGTGCATTTAGTGATGGAAGAGTCTAAGATTGGTATGAATCATAGCTATGCCGTGGTCATCACATGCTTTGATCACACCCTCATCATTAGTGGAGCCCCCTGGTGCAGCTATAAACTCAACTCCACTCTGTAAATATACAAATAAATTTACATGTTTGATGCTGTGAATGACAGTACTCTGGTGATATGAAGAGTAAACTACAAAACCACCACCATGTTTGATTGGAATAAGTCAAAATTTATGTAGGTTAAACCATCACTTTTACAGTCATGTGACCACTTTCTATCACTATAGATAATGGCAGACAGGGTGTCCATACACTAATACCTTCTCTACACTGCAGTGAAAGATTTATCAAACTAGAAATGTGTCCATAGGACACGGGTGCCCCCACCGCGCCACTGTTCTGTCAATCTTTTTACTAAGTCAAGGGAAATAACTCTACAAATACTGGATAAATCCACAAGCGAAACCCCAGGTGCAAATCTAAATATGCTGAGCAACCGGCCCATAAGGTTTAATGACTCTAGGTCAAATCCTTTTTGAGTAACTTAAGACACAAGTTGAAAATTGCAAGTCAATGGCAATAACTCTAAAAATACTAAATAAATCCAGACGAAAAAACCTGGTGCACAACTGCACATGCTGATCAATATTCCTGTGAAGTTTCATGACTCTAGGTCAAATACTTTTTGAGTTACATGCGACACAAGTTGAAAATTGCAAAATTTTATTAAGTCAAGGGCAATAACTCTGAAAATACTAAAAATATCCTGACGAAAATACCCAGGTGCACAACAACACATGCTGATCAACATTTCTGTAAAGTTTCATGACTCTAGGTCAAATACTTTTTGAGTTATGTGCGACACAAGTTGAAAATTGCAAAATCTTACTAAGTCAAGGGCAATAACTCTGAAAATCCTATAAATATCCTGACGAAAATACACAGGTGCACAACAACACATACTGATCAACATTCCTGTAAAGTTTCATGACTCTAGGTCAAATACTTTTTGAGTTACATGCGACACAAGTTGAAAATTGCAAAATTTTACTACGTCAAGGGCAATAACTCTGAAAATACTAAAAATATCCAAACGAAAATACCAAGGTGCACAACTACACATGCTGATCAACATTCCCGTAAAGTTTCATGACTCTAGGTCAAATACTTTTTGAGTTACATGCGACACAAGTTGAAAATTGCAAAATTTTACTAAGTCAAGGGCAATAACTCTGAAAATCCTATAAATATCCTAACGAAAATACCCAGGTGCACAACTACACATGCTGATCAACATTCCTGTAAAGTTTCATGACTCTAGGTCAAATACTTTTTGAGTTACGTGCGACACAAAAGTGAACGGACAGAAGGAAGGACGGACAGACGGACAAGGGTAAATCTAAATGCCTGCCACTAAAGTGGGGGCACAATAAAAACTTGGCCTTCTTGCAAAGTAAGTCAACATGAGTTTGTAATTCAAGTATTCTTTACTTTTGTCCACAAGGCAAGAAAGTTCATAAATGATTTTGAAACGCTGTACAAAACAACTTTCCATGAATGTGGCAGTGTTGGCTGTTATGTCTATACTGATGTCATGTCTCCCAGTTAAGTGTTTGTGGCTCATTAGCAAAAAACAATTTCCAAACTTTGTAAATTGTTCAATAGCCATTTTAATTTTATACTTACATTCAATCAGTACAAATATTTAATAAAGTTAAAGCTATTTGTAAGAAAAAGGACATTTTTGATTAACATTTTCTATGTCTAAACTGAGTAACAGATAAATACTTGCCTGTACTGCCCTGTCAATGTTGTCTCTGAATGGAAAGAAAGCATCAGAACTGAGTGCCACACCTTTCAACTGGGAGATCCATTCCTTCCTTTCTGCCTGAAATAAGAAAGGGAGGTAATTTTGGTTAATTTTATAATTAGTTATAAAGAATAATCCCCCTTTATACTGACTTTCAGATGGAATACATATACATACATGGAACAAAAACTTATCGTTAACAAGAGAGCAAAAAATTATGTCTAAATAATGTCATTTCAACACAACTTTATAATCACTGTCAGAAATTCATTAAAACATGTTAAAAAATTCATTAATACTTGTCACAACACGGAACAAGAAAATTTTTACCAACAATAAAAAATTATTAACTATAATTAAGTCATTTAGTAGAATTTATTGATTTTATACAGATTTAAATATAAAAGTAACTTAGACAATCAATCCAACTAAGCTCTCTGGTTTTTATGCCAATTTAACACATTTTTGGTCATATCTCGGAGGTCTATTCTCCTAACCAACTTTTTTTGGATAACTCATACATGTGACAAATGAAATGGGCCAAATCTGGATTTTCAGCTGGATTTTGAGGCTCAAAACTGGATTTTTTTATCGACTCGAATTTCAATGCGTGTTTGGCACATTTGGTTAAAAAAAATCAATATTACCCTCAAAATCATTAAATGATTATACTTTTTATGATTTTTTGTTGATCAATATTAATTTATTTCACCAAAAAAAAAAATAAATAGATAAATAAATAAGTGTAGTCATACAGGCTATTTCTAAAACAGTCACACTTTCATATTTCATTATTTTCAGTTTGAAGAATTATATGTCTTTTCAGTCATTCAATAATTAAACACAAGCTATTTGAAAACGTGCAACAACTATTCATGAACATAAGACTCTGACAGTTAAATAATGTAAAGTATGAAGAAACTCAAAATAAATGCAAGAATCCTTCCGTTAATCAAATCTCAACGATTGTGTAATTCCTAAACGAAACAAAAAAATACCGACTCACTAAAATAGATTAATTTCACCTTAAACAGGTTTTTGAATGATCCACTTTAAATGATTCTGCTGACCTTTAATCTTTATCAGTGTGGCACTAATCAAAGAAAATCAAAGGTTGAGCCGAATTCATACATGTTAATTTTACAGGGTAGTTTTGATGACGTAGCGTGTAATACCTACTGCCAAATTACAAAAGAGGTCAATTGACTGACACACGACACGTGATAAGTTAAACATGTGAGAATAACTTTGGGTATTGGAACTGTTTATTACGTCACCTTGCTGTCAATTAGCGACTCAACATTTAATCTGCTTTAATTTAGGATATGGACAGATAACAATCAATGCCCGTAGGCACGGTTTACATTTTAGATTCAGGTGCTGTGTTTGATTTTTTTTATGTTGATTTTTTTTTAAATATCGGGAATTCAAGCTGTATTATCGGTAATCGCGATCAGTGTTGAAATATCGGGATTTTTTAAAATCCCGCCGGGATGTCACATGTATGATAACTAACCAGTAATTACCAATTTTTCCATAAGTGACCAGCTACAAACCCACATGATTTCTGAATCTGAGGCAAGGGAAAAATGACGAATCATTAAGACTCTTTTTTTTTTTTGGTTTGGTTTTACATCCCACCAATACCGTATTCAACATGTAGGTCATATTGCAACTTTCCAGCTATACGTTCTGTAAGCTAGCTGGATACCTTTCTGACATAAAATATTTCAAAGATGCTATCGTGGATTGAACCTACAATGGTGACAGGCAAGTAGAATGAAGTTAACTACCTTAACCACTCGGTCATGGATGCCTCTAACATTAGACTCAATGTCCAAGATAAATTGTCAAAGAGAAATTACGCCTCATTCTAGTATTGAACTAGCGGCCCGTGGATTACTAATCCATTCTCTATTGAGCTATGTGAGCAGACTTATCAATCAATGTATAAATCTGACCATAATGATGGCATAGCCAAGTCAAAATCACTGGTAATACTATAGGGGGAGATTTATGTGGTAAGTGTTTAGTTTTGCAGCACATCTACCAATTGAAAAATAATATGGTGTCATACTTTCCTGCTTTACTGTTTGATGAAAACCTATGGTGCTTCTCCCTGCATTATTGCGAGACACAAGCTGATGTCAGCATAGAACAATCAACCTAAAGTAAGCCAGCTGGTAGCTTTATGGCATAATAAAATTAAGTGGTTCAATGTAAAAAATCATAACCACTCAGCCAGAGAAATCATCAAGGGCTGTATAAGTAAAACATAACTGAATTACAAACCTCTGTAAGCATTTCTGGTACTTCATCATACACACTCTCCCAACTTGCTCTGTCTGAATCCTGAAATTATTCAATAACACAAGATTCCATCAATTTTCTCTCTAAAAAAATTTAAACAAACTAAACAGCAGTGCTGAGGACAAAGATGCTTTATATTTAGTTCACATTGATATTAAACTCAGATAGCAAGATTTGATACAACTTTGTAGTGTAAATGATCATCAGAAATCTACTTTTTCAGCATTTTTTCCCCTGTAATGAAAAGTCAACAAGAATTTGTAACAGAGTTACCAACGTCCCCCGCCCCGGGAGTTTTATATGAAGCATAAAATTGTGCTATTTCAAAAGATTGAGGTATGGACCTCAGGACATTCAGTCCAAAATTATGATCAATGCTAGATCTGCAAATGTAACAATAAATTTGTTAAAAAAATAAAATGAAACACGGAATTTAAAAATCTATCATGTTAAGCTTTGACCTCTAAGTGTGAACTTGACCTTGGAGGTAGGGGAGCAGGTGTTGTGCATGACATAACGTCTTATTATTGTGACTATTTGTGCCAAGTTATTTTTCAAAAATCCCTTGAACTATGAAGAGAAGTTCTAGATTCAACACAAAATATACCCTATAACAGAACTATGTTAATTTTTGACCTCTAAGTGTGACCTTGACCTTGGAGGTAGGGATGCAGGTGTTGCGCATGACACATCCTCTTGTTATAGAGACTATTTGTGCGAAGTATTTTCACAATCCTTTGATCTATGAAAAAAATTATAGACCTGACACAAAATGTACCCTGTAACAGACTATGTAAGTATTTGACCTCCAAGTGTGACCTTGACCTTGGAGGTAGGTGACTGGTTTTTGCGCATGACACATCATCTGATTATTGTTAACAATTATGGCAAGTATTTACAAAAGTCCTTCATAGATAAGAAAGTTATGGACACGACATATACCCTCAAATAGACAATGTTGACCTTGAATGAACAAGTATGACCTTGACCCTGAAGGTACGGGTCTGGTTGTTGCGCACGTCACATCGTCTTATTATAACAAACATTTGTGCCAAGTTATCTCAAATTCCTTTGATAAATGACAAAGTTATGGACCCGACACGAAATATACCCTGTAACAGACTATGTTAATATTTGACCTCCAAGTGTGACCTTGACGTTGAAGGTAGGCAACTGGTTTTTGTGCATGACACATCGTCTGATTATTATGAACAATTATGGCAAGTATTTACAAAAACCCTTCATAGATAAGAAAGTTATGGACCGGACACGAAATATACCCTGTAACAGACTATGTTAATATTTGACCTCCAAGTGTGACCTTGACCTTGAAGGTAGGTGACTGCTTTTTTCCGCATGACACATCGTCTGATAATTATGAACAATTATGGCAAGTATTTACAAAAATCCCTTCATAGATAAGAAAGTTATGGACCGGACACGAAATATATTACCCCGTAACAGACTATGTTAATATTTGACCACCAAGTAATGACCTTGACCTTGAAGGTAGGTGACTGGTTTTTTGCGCATGACACATCGTCTGATTATTGTGAACAATTATGGCAAGTATTTACAAAATCCCTTCATAGATAAGAAAGTTTATGGACCGGACACAACAATATACCCTAAAATAGGCAATTTTGACCTTGAATGAGCAAGTGTGACCTTGACCCTGGAGTAGGGGTCTGGTTGTTGCGCATGACACATCGTCTTATTATAATAAACATTTGTGCCAAGTTATTTTAAATTCCTTTCATAAATGACAAAGTTATGGACCGGACACGAAAGTGTGACGGACGGACAGACGGACATACCAAAATTTGATGTTTATGAGGCAAATGAGCTCATAAACACCACCTGGACCAACGTCCATAAGCAAAATAAGCTCATAAAAACAAAAAAATAGCTCTTAATTTGAATTTTATGAGTTTATGTTCTTTATTTAACTACGGAATGAAGCTCATAATAATCAAATGTTGGCTCGGACGGACAGACAGACGGACAGACGGAGCCTATTTCTATATCCCCCTTTTTTCTTCGAAAAGGCGGGGGACAATTATATCTCTAATGAAAAGTCAATTATATAAATTCTCACTTCTGACATCAAGTTATACTTACCACATAAACAGGCTTCTTGCAAAAATCATTTTACAAATATAAGTTTAATGGTCTTAAGAAGTGGTCTTTAGAAGAAAGTTAAATTTAAAACGAGTCATCACTTTCAGCAATGTTGATTTTGAGATATTAACCCTTCACAAGCTAAATTTCTTGAATGGACTTGTCCATCTTTCTATCAGAACAATTTTTTTAACCTTTCATTATTCTTAGTGATCATTTCAAAAAAATTATTGCCTGAATCGTTGACAGTGCAGACCACGGTCATCATCTGCCTTCTAAACAGGTCTGCACTGGTTGCTAGGTACACTCAGTTGCTGCCAGTAGGCTAAGGAATAACATGACATTATAAGATTGCATGGACGTGTTGTAAAATATAAATTTCGAAACCGGTGGAACAAACCTGTCTCAGTTAATCTTGCTGGTATTGAACCCAAAATTTAGTGTTGGCATAAGTGAAGTCTTAACTTTTAATTGTGTATAAATTTAGCATCTCTCTTAGTAACCTGTCAGTTAATAAATAACCCACAAAGATTTCTTGTAGCAACAACAAAAAACTTTATAGATCTGTGTCCCCTAAATGTATAAACCTTTAGACATGATGGAACAACTAGAATGATAGTAAACTTACCACACCAACAGTTCCCAGTACAAACTGATCTATGGCATTAGCCATCTCGGCTCTCTTTGTTCCCTTCTTAAACTTCATGTTCATCACTTTGGGATGCTGTCTTAACCACCTATAACACAAAGTAACTGTGTTAAGAATATTAAAGAATTTTTTGTTTACTAAGCATAGAATGATCAATTTTTAAAAAGGTCTTCAACACTTTACCTGCTGAATTTGTGTATGGATTTGCGCTTCTTTGAATTTCTATTTCTAGTCTTTTTGAAAATCAAGGGATTTCAAAATCAAAATTCAAAAATTGCACTATAAAAAGTATAGACCCTGGTCAGACTACAAAAATGTACAGACTCAGAGGCCTGGCTCTGTACTAGTAGCAAAGACTGATCATTTTTGGTTCAAGCAGATTAAGGGTTATGAGCAAATTTCATGCTTTGAAAATAAATTATATTATCCTTAAATCCTTCAAAGTCAGAAAACATTATAAACTTGTGACACAGTTAGTGTTTTTTATCCTTCACAATAAAAACAAGAATGTGTGCAGCATCAACATTATTATATACACAAATATAGATAATATGAATCTTACACCGGCTGCCGGTATATCTAGCTTGAGGGTAACTGTTTACAGTGGTAACTAGGCTCTGTCAAGTTTCCGCTAAACAGTTACCTGAGAGCTAGATATTCCTGTCTGTATGATTCTTTTTCTTGCATATTACATATCTATTATTTTCAGAACAGAAACTACGAAAACTTACAACTTCATTCATAATGGTTAAGTGACGTCATCCTAAGAACACAATTCATTCATAAAGGCGCGGCAATGACGTCATTTAAAGCATGCAAATTGTCTTACATGGGTGGTGTAAGACAGGGTTTTCTAGCAACTGTTTAAATGGTAGGTAATCCTGTCTGATATGCAAGAATAATACATGTACGTCTAAAGCATATCTTCACTGTTCTAGGTGTGTTTTATTCTGAATGTTCCATACAGACAACCCCATTCTGATATCAATTACAAATTCACAAGCATTAGTTATAATGATTTTTTAATTATTATCAATGATGACACTTCTTTCAATTAAATACAGAAATAACCAGAAATTTGATAATTGTAATTCTACTTTCAATAACATACCAGTTATTAGCCTTGTCCCCAGCTAATCTAGTACAATGAATTCTAGACTGTTGCCCGGCTCCTATTCCAATAACCTGAAATAATAACAAAACTACAATTGGTTCAGCAAACTGACACTTAAAACATTTTTTTATATAAAACATATTACTATTTTTTATATACAGCAATATCAAATTTCCAATAACCTAAAATAATATCAAAACTGTAATTGTTTCAGCAAACTGATACATATAAATTTTACAATTTTTGATAAACAATATAAATTCAATTTAAAGGCAGCAGGCCACTACATTCTGGTATGTTCTTCTTCAATGTTATGTTTAGTCAGTAGTTATTATCTTCACTGGATTTAGAAATGTTCAGTAGATGTATTTTTTCATTCATTTTCTTATTAAAAAGGGGTCTTCCTTACTTCATTATCACAACACAACTTTACATTATCAAATTTTACACATGGCATTGCAGTTTAGTCTTTCATACATTGTACTGTAATTTGAAGTTTAACACTGGATTAAGATAACCTACCTGACCATTTTTAGCATAACAAACAGAGTTGGATTGTGTATACTTTAATGTTATACTGGCAACAATAAGATCTCTAACATTCTTCTCTGACACCTGAAATAATACACATAAATTTTACTTAATCATTTATTCAAGTAACTCCACAGAGGTTTAAAAGCCTAAAAAACATAAAATATGATTTTTTTACATAGATCAGCTAGGGCACTTAAAACAGAACTATATGCAAAAGATAATTAAGAAATATACGCAGAAGTAAATTGCAAATTGTATTTTTGTGATATCCTTAGCCCTAATCCAGCGTAAAACATTGCAATGCTTTTCAATATTTGGTCAATTTTACAAAAAAATTATTCTGGAAAAAGTTGGAGTGAGCGAATGATCTGAAATTTCATACACAAGACCTTCTTCAAATTGAACATTCATCACAAAAAATTCTTTCCAGTCACGCATGTCAAAAAAAAAACTCAGTGGAGTTCCTTCAGACAGCCAGGACTACTCAACATAAGCTCTTTTTTTCTACATAACAACAATGCCAGAAAAAAAGCACTATCATCTGCCTAAAACATGTTTGTACATAAATACGAGATAGAAACTGCTTTGGAAATTTCAATGTTAACCAAAAGGATGATGCTGGTGGCAACAGTATAAACCCTAAAAAGCAGTGCAGACCATTATCAAATGGTACATAGTCGGCACTTTTCCCTATCCAAGTCAGTCCTTTTTATATTTTCCCTGAAATGATATTGTGTTGTCCAAATTGAAGGATGGACCAATCCATTTTGTAAATTTAGGATTACACAACTTAACAGAAAAGGTCTGCACTTTCCCTATTCAGTCAGTACTTTTGATATTTTCCCTAAAACGATAAATTGTGCTGTCCAGATTGAAGGACGGACAAGTTCATTTAGTATTTTTAGGATTAAACAAGGGTGCCATAGTCACAAAATACGCCCGTTTACGAAAGCTTTAGATAGAGATGGGGGCATGATGGATAAGTGTTATCTAGCAAGCAAGTTTTTATTCTTGGCACTGTGTTGTTAAATGAACCTTAAAACAAATCAGTAGGGAAGATATGCACAGGATAGGTGACCTTGACCTTGGTCGCAGGGACCTGAATTTTATGCACAGCACTCAGCCTCACAATGATGAACATTTGTGCCAAATTATATTGAAATCCCTCTATGCATGTAGAAGTTTTGCTCCAGACAAGTGTTTTTCTATGAGCTCTAACTGTGACCTTCACCTTTGACCTAGAGACTTGGTTTATGTGCAGGGCACTACGTCTCATGGTGGTGAACAATTCTATAAAAGTAACATTAAAATTCCTCCATGCATGTAGAAAATATGCTCCGGACAACATCTGGATATTTAATCATCTCCAGTGACCTTGACCTTGCAAATATTAACCTAAATTAAATGTGTCACACCTGTAGTCATGATAGTTACCATTTGTCCTACAATCCATCAATAAATGATGACTAAATGGTCCCTATAACCATCTTCAAATTTTTATCTGAACTTTGACCTCTATGTGTAACCTTGACTTTGGTCGCAGGGATCTGAATTTTGCATGCGACACTCAGCCTCACAATGGTGAACATTTGTGCCAAGTTATATTGAAAACCCCCTATGAATGTAGAAGTTTTGCTCCGGACAAGCGTTTTTCAATGAGCTCTAAGTGTGACCTTGACCTTTGACCTGGAGACCTGGATCATGCATGGAGCAATACATATCATGGTGGTGAACATTTCCATAAAGTATTATAAAAATTCTTCCATACATGTAGGAGATATGCTCCAGACAAAATCTGGATATTTCACCATCTTTAGTGACCTTGACCTTGCATATATTGACCTAAAGTACATGTGTCACAGCCGTAGTCATTATAATGACCATTTGTGTTACAATCCCTCAATAAATGATGATTAAATCGTCCCTATACACATCTTCATATTTTTTATCTTTTTTTAAACGGGCGTATAAAAAGTACATGTAATTGTAATTTAATAACTAAAAAATTCTGATTTAAGATTTTATTCTAGGGAAATACATTTCATTACAATTCTTAATCTTTGAATGAGCTGAACTGATATTTACTTGAAAATTAAAATATAATTAAATTTCTATGAGAAAGTATTTACATTTGATAAGGTAATTACTGTATGATCTTTATGAACAAATACCAAGTCTACCGAACACCATAGTTATCACAGTTAAGAATCTTGACCAATGAATGAAACATGTGTAAATAAATGTTACATTCTTTAGAACATACTCAAGTCCAAGAAAGAGGATTATTTCATGCCCTTTGATTAAATTCTTTTTTTAGAATTGAAAGTGAAAGTAGATCAAGGGGAGTAATTGTGTAAGTCATTTATGAACAAAGTAATAACTTTGTTGTCACCCTTTGATTAAATTCTATTTACAAAATCTGGATATTTCATCATCTTTAGTGACCTTGACCTTGTATATATTGACCTAAATCATATGTATCACAGCCATAGTCTTGATAATGACCATTTGTGTTACAATCCCTCAATAAATGATGACTAAATGGTCCATATACACATCTTCATATTTTTATCTGAACTTTGACCTCTATGTGTGACCTTGACCTTGGCCGCAAGGACCTGAATCTTGCACGCGACACTCCGCCTCACAATCATGAACATTTGTGCCAAGTAATATTGAAATCCCTCTATATATGTGGAAGTTTTGCTCCGGACAAGCATTTTTCAATGAGCTCTAAGTGTGACCTTGACCTTTGACCTAGAGACCTGGTTCATGTGCGCAACACTGCTCCTCATAGTGGTGAACATTTCTATGAAGTTTCATTAAAATCCCTCCATACATGTAGGAGATATGCTCCGGACAAAATTGGACGCCGCCCGAACGCCCGCCCGCCCGCCAGGGGCGTTCCCATAATACGTCCCGTTTTTCAAACGGGCGTATAAAAATTAATAGAAGTGTTACAGCAATGACTATATTTGTCTAGGACTTTCAATGTTATTTAAGTGTGTGTTTTACCTCTGATTTTGAAGTGACAACATTTTTGAAGACAAGTTTGTTGATGTTGGCATCATTTCTTTTCTGTGTCATCTGAAGACCAAACAATGTTCTTGTCTCCATCTCTGGGGGCTCATATTCTGGATCAATCTACAGAGAAAAACATTTGTTAACATCATCTTCAGTTTATACTAATTTATAATAGTTTGATTGTGTTGGAAGGTATACCGGTAAGCTTATTGGAATACTCTAATCCGTTCTTGAAACCAACCAGTACAAGGCAATGAGGGTAATTTCTTACTCAATGAAGCAACAACTTGCCCCTGACAGGGTGCCAGCAATCTATAGATTACTAGTCTGTTGCATTAACAACTCAGCCACTTATTTCTTTTTAATGCAGAGGCAAACTAACAAAAGGTGATGTACAACAAGAATATCCCAAATCTGTAAATATATCAAGAAAATAATGGGAAAATGACCTGAATTTTCAATTTCTGGATCATGTAGGGCTCAAGGTCATATATCTGTGTCAAAATATAGCTAGTTCAAACATAAAAAGTTCTAACTTACAGTATGGAAGAACAAAGAAGGAACAAAAACTAAATGCTATAAATGTTTACTTGACTGACAATCACAGCTACTGAGATAGATTTAAGTCCAATATTGTTACAAAGTCAATGACCTAAATACAATGTACTTTACAATAGTCTTTACAATACTATATAACTTACCTCCAGGACACAATAGTTTCCATTCTTTTTCTTCTTCAGGATTTCTAAAGCTTCTGGTGCATATCCAGGGGCAATAACTCCATCTGAGACCTATAATTAGTTATATTCTATGCATTATGTTATTTCCCTTTCATCATACCCTTTACACAAAAAATGCACATTTTTGTAGTAGCTAGTTATTTTGCAAATATCCAGGTTTCAAATACAACAGGGTTTTTGAACAGCTTTTTTGTCAACAACATGTGACCTTACAATTGTGTCCGGAATTTCTACCAGGGTTTATTTTTTCTCCTCAAGTAACAGTCAACTTGCACAAAAGACTCACTACAATTAGCAGTGGAGTACAAGACTTTTGTGATATCAAAATTTAGACAAATTGCCATAAATCAAATTATTGATATTAGACAAACTGTCATTTTATATAGATGAGCGTATCAAATAGGTCCATGGGCCAGTTATAAAGCTAGCATGGGACAAGTTTTAATATTTCCAAGATGTGTTTCGTGAAAATAAAAATGTTATGAATATGAAAACAATCAATGTTATGGAACAAACAATATAATTAAATATGCTGATGTACAGTAAAATTCTCCCTTAAGTCATTAGCAAGAAGACTTAAAACAAAATAGTTCACAAGTTTTGACTAACCTCTCTAGAGATTATCTTTGCAGTAGGAACATCACATTCATCAGATAGTGAGATAAAATCTCCAAATGATGACATCCTGTCTGCACCTGTAAAGTTAATACATCTTTTTTTATTTAATTTTTGTTTTAACTCTAATCTGCAGACTTCAGGTAACAGATATGCTCTGCTTTGAATTAAAAACAATTCATTCAAACTTTAACAAATTTCATTAACAAAGTTTAAGTTCCAAAGTTTGCTACAAAAAATATATATGGTGTCAAAATTCAACTATACTCTGCCTTGTCCCATATTTAGTCAGTTTCAGTAAAACCAGACTCGTTTGAAAGAGTGAAAAATTACATACAAATATTCACATTCTATTTACTGTTACATTAAGCCTACCTGCTCTAAATCAGAATTTTTTCCAACAATTTTACTTGTTTGAACAATCTAAAATACTGGTGTATAGTTAAATAAATGACAAATCTTACCCCTTGCCCTAGCGTAGGCTTCAGCTAAGGGAGATAAATTCTCCATATCATCTACCATACATACTTTACTATCTTCCTCAGACATTCCTTGTCCACCAATAGCTGCACCTGTTGTATGTTTACATTACATGTCATGTCTGAGGCTTTATTTCGTATTATAAGTTACAGACTTTTTCAAAGTAAAGGCTGATGTTGAATTTAAAAAGTTGAATTGATTTATTCATTTTTTACTTTCAATTTTATTATTCAAGATTTAAGTATAGTAGTGTAATGCAAGCACAATAACATTTCTCATAAAAACAATTTCAAATCTACATTATGAAAAAGAACGCAAAGTAACATTATAGTCTAAACCACTTTAAAGACAAAATCAGGACAAACAGAATTCATGTCAAAATATTAAGACTAACGACATTAAGAAGATCAAACAATAGAGTCATTTCAATATATTTTGTTTTCTTCCCCTGACACCATATCACCTTTAATGTATTGGTGTGCTGTAAAAAAACAAACATTTTTATTTGACATTTTATTTAACTGATTTCATATTTACTGTCAAAATAGAGACTCAAACCTAGGTAGTTATAGGTAAAAGATAGCAGCATTCACTAACCAGCTGGACTGACATGTTTGAAGGAGGTTGCCGCAGCAGTACCACAAGCTGACTTCAGTTCCTTTACCAGCTGCCAGCCATTTAATGCATCTAACAGATTGATAAATCCTGGGGAACCATTTATAACTGAAAAATACAAAAGAACTTTCATTTAAATCATCATTAGTATTGTCAATCATTTCCAAAGTTTTAATGATTCACAATAAATATGTAAATTTATAAACATGACAAAGTTACAGTTTGGACACAAATGTTGTGTAAATGGGAAAGAGCAGACAGACTGACAGTGCAATTCAAACATGCCACCCTTTGGCAGTATAATACGTTCTTTCTTATGCTTTTTTTAACTGACCAGATTTTTTCCCCTTCTTTTTATTATTTGAAATCACATAATTTTCCTTATTTTTTTTTTAAGTCGTATCCACAGAAACTTTGACTGAACACAATAACCAGCAAGTTCTGTTACCTTTCAATGGCAGTTCAGCTAGTAGAGTAGAAATCTGTGCTGGTTTCTGGTGAGGGTTCATGCCATACCGCAATGGCAACTGAGAGACTCCTTCACTGAACTGGCGACGGAAATAGTCCGAGATCATTCCATCATACTCCGCAGTGTGGTTGAAAGCCTGATTTCAAATAGTGAAAAAGACAAAATATACAGCATGTTTTATGGCATATACTTCATCATTGTGTCAGAATAGATAATAAACTTAAAAGATAATTTTTTCAAAATTAATCATGCAGAAGATTTATGCATCAACATTTTTACTGTTTAATTTTCTTTACTTTGTGACAGTTTCACATTCACCACTATAGATAGGCAGTACTAGCTGACTGTGAAATTATCAAAGTTTAACTTTTACCACACTAAATATTTTAAATGGACTTGTCCATCTTTCAATCAAGACAAAACTATTCATCTTTTTCAAGAAAAACAAAATGTACTGGTTGAATAGCAAATAATGTAGACTATAACAGACAGCACAGATGGGCCAGCTAATCTTGGTCTGCACTGTTTTCATAACATTGGTAGATTCAGTTGTCACCAGCAGGTTATGGGTTAAGTGATCCAAGCATTTGATTTGCAACACAAGCAAAGAATGATTGCTCAGGACACATTTAAAAACACATAAGACTTGGTTTTACATTCTAACGATATAGTTGCAGTAATGCTTAGTTAATAAATAGAGATTAAAATTTAGTCATTACCTTTACAGCAAGTTTCTGCCTGGTTTCAAGTTTTGTGTCCTTATCATCAGATGTCTGAAGTTCTTCCAACACTCTATAACATTACAAATCATGATAAAAAACATATCATATACAAAGTGATAAAAGTCACAATTTTTATTTATTGCCAAACACAATGCTACTTTGTTTACTTGTTTGGGGTTTTACGTCACACCGACACAGTATAGGTCATTTGGCGACATTCCAGCTTTACTGGTGGAGGAAGACCTCAGGTGCCCTTCCGTGCATTATTTCAGGCACGAACGGGCACCCGAGTAGAACCACCGACGTTCCGTCAGCTAGCTGGATAGCTTCCTCAAATGAAAGAATCCAAAGTCCCTGTCTGGATTCGAACCCACAACGGTGAGGGGCAAGTGGTTTGAAGTCAACGACCTTAACCACTCGGCCACGGACGCCCAAAAACACAATGCTACTGAATATAGTTGATGCATTAAGGTTACGAAGATTAAAATGATAAATGCAGAGTCAATAACACAGTTAGTATTTCAGACCTTAACCCCTACTGAATTCAATATGGACTTGCCCTTCTTATAACACAGAAAGTTCATTTGTAGTTTAAGGGTGTTTGTCTTAAAATGCTAGTATTTAACAGTCAGCAGTACAGTTTCAGGTCTAGCATCATAGATTTTCAGGCTACTTTGCTCTGTAGATTTGTTAGTTTAACTGTTAGCACTTGAAAGGCGTATACTTAAACCAATTTGGAGAATTATCACAATAAATCATTATTTTGCACATAATTAAAGTATACAAGTGGAGGAGAATTGAAAATAAACCTTTTATAGTCTTTAGGATCACAGACCACTGTTACTCTTGCATGATTCTTTGCTGCAGCTCTTAGAAGTGTAACACCTCCTGAAAATACATAAAATAATCTCATAAACGAGGATTATTAATATTAAAATAGACCAACAAACAAGTATAAAATAACAAATAGAACACTCATTACAAAAGATAGCACAATTCATACATATCTTATTGCAGTAAGTGTTCTGAACCACTGGTTTAAAACTGAAAATGTATGTTCCATACAACTAGAACTGATGGATATTGCTGAGAGAAGGACAAGTCAATTTAAGATAGCATGTTTACAGTGAAATAAAGACAGAAATAGGAGAATGAAAATATTAACATACCAATATCAATCTGTTCTACAGCTTCTGGTACAAACACATCTGGTTTGGCTATAGTTTTGGCAAACGGATACAAATTGTTCACTACTATCCTGAAATTGTTTTAATATGTTTTATTACATTAGATACGTCAAATTATTTTTTGATAAGACCAGCTATTATAGCAGTTTATATTAGCAGTTTTCCAATTTTCTTATCATTATGATTTCCACATAAATATCTTAGATGAAACCAGGTCTGCAATGATCACTATTCAGTTACTGCTTATTTTGTTCAGATTGACAGATGGACAAGTCCATTTAGACAGTTATCATGGTAAGAAAAACTTAAGTTATATGAACTATTAAGAACTGGTTAGCTCACTTAATTTACAAAATAACCGCTACATGTATAAACCCATTAATGATACAGAATAGTTAGGTGTGCAGGTGGTGGCCATGTAGAATTCAACCATTAAAATATACTGTGTTAATACTTGATTATAGGTGCCAAGCATTACCTTATCATTTGAAATCCTTGATCTGCCAAATCCTTCTTGTCAGACTCTGTTGGTCTTGCCAGAATTCCTGGAAATACATATCATATTTGATAAACAAGAGCACAGTATGCAGTGTTAATGCTTGTCTGTTAAATATTTTGTATGCTTGTCTGTTAAATATTTTGTATGCTTGTCTGTTAAATATTTTGTATGCTTGTCTGTTAAATATTTTGTATGCTTGTCTGTTAAATATTTTGTATGCTTGTCTGTTAAATATTTTGTAAAGTCAAAATAAATTGTCACCAGTCTGAAGATCATCCTATAAGGTGCAATGACATTTAAATTTCTGGAAAGCTCTGTATGTTCCAATTTAAAAACTATTTTCAATTAGAAACTACCTCCATGTACGCAGGATGAGTGTCTTTTACCCGCCCCCAACATTTTTGGTGCTCCTGTTATATCAGCAACATCACTGTAAATAAAAACAGAACTTTCTTAAAAATATATGTATTTAAAGGGGCTCCACTGGAGTCAAAAAGCCTTAAAACATGAAATTTTGAATTTTTACATAAATCAAGTCAAGAACTTAAGATGGAAAAATTTTAAAAGAAAAATATTAAAGAAATATAAATAATAAAAATACCGGAGAGGAATTGTGCAGGCTGAAAAAAAACAGAATTGTGCAGGCTGAAAAAAACAGAATTGTGCAGGCTGAAAAAAACAGAATTGTGCAGGCTGTAAAAAACAAAGGGATGGGAATTGTCTGCTTTGTATAAATAATGGGAGAGGATATTGTCCTGGTTGCCAAAAATAAACAGGAGGGGTATTGTCTGGTAGTGGAATTGTCTGGAATCCGTGCCAGCAGGGCAGGGGTTTTACCATTTGAAATTCAAAGAGTAAACATATTTCTCTTCTTCCGGAGTGAAAAGCCCATAGTTTATGTTATAAGATTCCTGTGACTATTTCATAAATATTAATCACATACCTTTCATGTAAACTGGAAGCCAAGCCTTACATCATGCATGGGTTAAAAAGTTTACAAAATAATAATGAAAACGTGCTATAATACCTGACTTCTAGTCCTGCATCCCTGATTGCCTTGGCTGTACCACCTGAGGGAACAAGTTGAATCCAAAGGGGATAACCATGGAAAAAATCACAAACCTGATTTTTTTTGACACACTCAGAATGCTGGGAAAAATAT